CTCTATGGTGGCTGTGCTGGGGTCTCCTCTATGGTGGCTGTGCTGGGGTCTCACCCTTCTGTTCAAGCCTAGAATCCACAAATGATCCCGGGGTGAAATACGTTCAGCTTACCTCAGAGGCCCCCCTCTGTCTTGAGTTTTAGGGTCTCCACTTAGGGTCCAATAATTTATAAATTCTGTCTCTGTTTACATTACACTACTGATTTGACACAGTGACACATTCTACTCAGAAGCAGTTGTCTTCAGGACTTTGGAAAAGTCAGTTAGTTAGCAAACAATAACTTAATAGTTCAATTTAATAGCACATTAAAGTGAATTATAATGCAAAGGATCCCACATGCATAATTCATAAAAATCACTATAAAATTATATTACTTAATAAAAAGTGGTATAATGTGTCAGAAAAGCTTATGGGAAATTTGATTCTTAATAAATTGCTAAGTGATGTTCTGTTGGAGATCATGCCAGATGTTAGAGTCCAGACCTGACAGGTGGGTGGTCAGGGGTCTTTCATCCGAAGGATGAGGTGGTGTCGGTGAAATGAGCAATGGAGGCAGACACTGACACTCCAGCTGGTACAAATATTTCCTGCCGCAAACTTCAGCAGTTCTTTATTTAAACAATTTCCAAGCTGTGAGATCAGTATAGGCATTGAAGCAAATCTTTTAACAATTCATTTCCATGGCTACACTGAAACTTTGTGGTTACATGTTACAAAGAAACTCTTTTAATTATAGAAAGATAACCACCAAAAAAAAATCAGCATCCCCATTTTTTTCAGCATGACCAATCATTCCAAGCATCTCAAATAAAGCAGCAAATCCTTTCTCAGGTTAAATCTAGATTCAGATCTGTTTCTTTAGTTCCTCCAGGCTGTCCCAGAAGGAAGCACATCCTGATCACTTTACATTTCTAAAGACAATCTACACTCTTGATTATGCTAAGGTACTTTTCTGAGAAAACCATTGTCAATTGTTAAACATTTTTTGTAACCCAGTTACAAAACCCAGTTACATTTTTTGTAACCCAACATTTTCTGATGCCCAGTTAGGCCTCGCAAACAAAAGAGGGCCAGGAATCACTGATGGTCAAATACAATTGCTGTTAGTCAAGAACAAGTACAAAGTAGTTCAGTACACATTGCTAAGGAGACTCCCCTTTGTATGTCTTCTTGGGAACCAAACAGCCTCCATCTTCTTGAGAGTCTCCCCATTGCCAGGACTTTGTCATAATGTTACAGGGCACCCCAATGTGAATTGGGTTGCCTGTCTGTGGGTTTTCACCCGTGCGCTTAGGATTCAATCGTATTATGGACACACTCAAAAAGGTTAAATAATGGATTTATTTATAAGGAGAAAGGTAAAGGAATAACCCAGGGAAAGAGGGAGGGAAACACAGGTTAACTAGGATGTCCTACCAGTTCTGCTGACGTGGACTCCACCGGCACGCTGAAAACCGATTGAGCCCAAAACGATCAGCTGCGAACCACCAGGTCAAGAGACCCCCAGAGCCCACGTGTCCGGTTTTATCCCAACCTGGCTGCTCAGCTCCGCCCTCACGTCTCTGCGTGCTTCTTCTTGGTTCTGATGGGATTTGGAGTTCCAGCATCGAGTGGGGGCGGAGTCCGTGAAACCTGTACCTGTTACAATATGACAGCATGGCTAGCATAGCCTACGTCAATGTCCCATGGAAATATTTGAACCATACCTTTAAAACGAAGGTCTGGAGAACAAAGTAGAATACTAGTATTCTAGGCAGGACTAACATGAACCAAAGTGGCATGAAAACTGAATAGTATATTTGGGGTACATTTGGTTGCTGCTGCAGGACTCTGGTTTGTTATGTGTTTCAGATGACAATTTTGGAGTAGTCAGGTGGTTGTTAGAATGTATGTAGAATTTTAGGAGTGCTCTTAAGGCCACTGAAGAAGGTGAGCTAAATGATGCATGTTGTTCTTCTGTGTTGTGACATTATATTGTTGTAGGTGAAGGAGCAGCAGGAATGCACAAACCATCCTTCTTTCACCACGTATGTGATTACTTAGTTGCCCTTGGCCATTGGTGGCCAGGGTGTGGATGTCTTTCCTTCCCCCCCAATGGATAACTGGACCTGGCCTACAACAGAACACTCATTGTTTCCTTCACTCTTGTCTGGTCAGTTAGCTGAAGTCCCTGCAGGCCTATCAGCCCTGGAACCCAAAACCGTGCAGGACTTTCAGAGGTTTCCAGGGAGACAGGAGAGGATACTCGAACACCAGGTGACCAAGAAACTGACTGTTGCTTTGAAGGAAGGAGCCAGGCAAGGTGCCTGCTAAGATGTGTCAGCCTTTCCAACCACCTAGGAGTGACATCAGGATGCAGTAATCAGGGCTCAGGGGACCTCACAAAATTCCTCCAGTGGAACATTCCTTTCGAATTTTGACTATTTTAAGGACATTCTGACTTTCCTTAACCCTTGTACCCATGGAGTTTTAAGTAATTACTATTTGGGTATATCAACCATGGATAACAATTTTAAGGGAAATGGAGAAGGTGCTTATTAATTCTTTTTCTGTACAGATGCTGAATGAAGAAACAATTTACTACTGCTTTTGCAAAATACAAAAGAAGAACAAATAAATTTGAAGAGGAGAAATCTGATCTGTTTAGCAACTCTTGTCCACATAGGGTCTCTCCTTCAAATTTTCATATTTGGGCGGTTTGGTTTGCTACTTCTTTCTAATCTAGGCAGCCAGACCTGTACCAGAGCTAGGAGGCCAACTGTAAAAACAGGCCTCGTTTCATGAGCCATAGAGTTTGACTAATAGGCAAAACCAACAATAAAATGGCACATGCTCCCTATACGGTTATCCCACAAAAGCCTTTCCCTGAGTAAGAAAATGATTGTGACATCCCTAGACTCGACTGACACTCAGAACAGACTGTCTCCAGGTAGCTGTGTGAAACCCACATGATCAAACAGAAAGCTGAATGCATACTAGAACCTGCTAAATATTAGATGGTGAGTAAGTAAGTGAGGGAGTGTGGGTTTGAGTGAATGAATGATGTGTGAGTTATGAGTAGATGAATGGGTGATAAATAAATACCTGAAAAATTCATGTGTGCACATTCGTAGAAGTCCTGTGTAGTACACTTAAATCATTTATGTATGTTTTTTTTTTTCCCTACTTGGTCAGAACAACTTCCTAGAGGCAGAACCCACATTCACCAGGTGTGCTAGAGTCTCCTCCTGGTGGGAGTTACCCTTCCCTTCTGTTGTCCTTCCCTAGCCACGGTTAGTTAGAAAGAGTCTCCCAGGTTCATGCCAACGAGTCCTTCATTCTCTCTTGCCTTCTTTACCCAGGATGCATCAGGATCTGATCGCCCATCATCAGTTACTACAGCACCCTGTCCACAGGACTGCACCTGGACACACACTCCCCAATTATCACCTCTGAACCAACAACTAGGTCACAGACAGGGGCCATGGCAGAGACAATGATGTGCAGCCTGGATTTATTGGAGGAGGAAACAGGAACGATGCTCAGGGAGGGGAAATGAGGAGAATGAAGCAGAATCTCCAGCTTCTGCTGTCCCCACTAGTCAAGGTAAAACCCCCAAAGAAGTCCAGATACACTCCTTCCCATGGGACCTTCAGGGACCACAGCTGTGGCCATGTTGGAGGCTGGGGAGGATGACTTTGCCCATCTGGGCAGCATCAGAGTGGGGTACAGGACAAGACTAGGGACAAGGCGGTGGTGTGATGCACTCAATGGGAAGTGACCCTCACAAGGCATCATGGGACCCTGCGGTGAAGGGGGTGGAAGAGGAGCTGGGGAGAAAGGAGCAGAGAGAAGACTCCATCTGGTGGTCTGGATGGGGGCAGGTGTACCCCGCCCCTCCTTATTTCGGCTTGCTCTTGGGGGCTTGCTGGGCTGAGGGACTCTTCTGCTGGGCTGGGATGGCTGTGCCCTTGGGTGAGCTTTGCTTCTTGGCCTGGGGAGCACATGCATCCTTGGTTTTTGGAGCATTTGTTTCTTGGCATTTGACAGGGGGTGGCTGACAGGGCTGCTTCACCTGCTGCTGCTGCTGCTGTTGCTGCTGTTGTGAAGACATTGCTGCTGCAACAGTTGAGCCTGAAAGAAACAACATGAGAAGGGCTCCCCCACCTCCTCTCCCTAGAATACCTAAAAGACATTTTTCCTCCAAAATCCAAGAAACCCAATTAATGATTAATAACCTCAAATTGATTAAAGGATTGATTCACACACACTGTTGCCCTCTTCCTCTTTCTTTCTTCTTCCACACTATGCTAATTCCCTGTTGTCTCTCTCTCCCTCCGGACTTAACTGAACTTCAGTCTTACGGAAATAAGATGGGGTGCTGGTTGAAGAGCCAGAGGTAGCCAGGTCTTTTGCAAAGTCAAGGCATGAGATCTTACCGCATGGATCCCCAATGTACACTGGCCCCTTCGGTAATGCAGGCACTGAGTGTGGGCAAGGATGAAGGGGCAGGGTCGCAGGAGCAGTCTCTGTGTTACAGGGAAGTGCTGTGGTGTGTAAGTGACGGGGTGGAGAAAGCCTGTACCAGGAACTCAGAGTTCTAATTCCTGCTCCACCCCTGACTCACCCTGGGATGTGAAGGTAAGTCATTTAACTTGGCTGTCAGGTAGTGGTTCTAACCCTCTCTGGAGACCTTGGGAATTGAAGGCCAATTCGATCACTAGAGGGAAGGAGCCCTGGAAGATGCTGTGCCAAGAGGCGCCAAGGTTCAGGTGCTAGAGCATTGTCCACTAAGCTCAGGTGTGGGTTCTAGATCCGAACCTGCTGCTTACTGGTCAGATCATCCCTGGGCAATGTACCCTCTCTGGACCTCATGTCCTTTAATGAAGGATGTTCATGGAGAAAGTCTCTGAGGTCTTTCCAGCTATGGTGCGTGTCTCTGGCTTTCTTTGTAGCAGTATCCCTCATCTTCTAAACTTACGATTATAAATGGGAAGTATAGGTGTGGGGTGATAATCGTAGCAGTGAAAATTGGGAGCAGCATTGTATAAAGTACAATCTATATCTGGTTTTGTAAATCTAAAGGCAAAGTTTGAAAAAGTGGCCTGATAGAGCCCAAAAGGCAGAAAAGGTATGTGGAAGCTTTGGAGGTGGCTCAGAATTGTTACAAAATGCTGTAGCTCCAAATATTTCCACTCAGTGAGAAAAATCCTTTGCCAGGGAGTCAAACCCAGAATCAGGAAATTAATCATATCCAACAGTGGTGTGGATGAAGGCTGAATTTCCCAAGTAACAATTAGGGTGACAGTTCCTTAATTATCACAGGGCCTGCATTATTTCTCTGATTACCCAAGAATAGGAGAAGAGCTTGGCCTAGCGGTTGAATCAGAGTCAGAGGAAACAGCCCAGCAGATCCCAGGAAGACCAGTGTGTTCCCACTTACCAGAGGTGGAAGCCGGACCCTAGGAGAGGAGGCTGAGCGAAGTTCACCTCTGGCCTCTCCAGGTCACCTTATAAAGGCCCCCAAACTTCCCCCCGGGAACTTGGTGTGGCTCTGATTGCCACCTCCCAGGAATTCCTCACCCACTTCTCCCACCTGCACTTCCTCCAGGTACTTGCTTTATGGGGCCTGTTTCCATGGGTACCACCCACCCATAGGCCAGCGTTCCTGGTTCCCTGGCTACCTGGGCCAACTTATTCCACCTAAGGTATTTGCTAAAACCCAAGGACTCAACTTCTTTTAAAAATAGAAAAATCTGAGCTACTGTCAGCAGAATGAGACTGACAGAAAATGCTGAAGGCGGAAGAATAAAGGGCGTCATGGCTTACAAAAACATCTTTGCTGGTCATCCTGCCATTTACTAGTGCTCATTGGTGCCCAGAGCTGAGGGCACTGGGCAGACCTCTGCTGGATTTTATCTTTTCAGTCCCTATGTGGCAATGCCATTGCTACCGTTTTGCAGATGAGAAAAGTGAGTCTGGGCAGGATCAGAGTAGAGAGTAAAGGCAGAGAGAGGATTTGAACTCAGATCTGAGGGCTTGCATTGCCCAAACATTGTAGAGGGACAAGTCAAAAGTCTAGCTTCTGTCCCCTCATCCTCCTTGGTGTCCCACTACAAGGTGTATGATCTCCTCCTCCGTGGGGCTATCCACTGAGTGTTCTATGAGGCCTTGCTTGTGAGCACAAGTAGGTGTGAGCGAGGCCCTAAGCTCGGTCCACATGTTGGTCACCCTCTACCCCCAGCAACAATCCGGCTGCTGATGAGTGTAAGTGCTGGTCACAAAGGTGGGGTAGACTTTGGCTTCTGGGTTGCCAGGCAAAACACAAGGTGTACAATTAAATATGAATTTCAGATAAATGACAGAAATTTTAGTATACATATGTCCCAGATGTCCCATGAAACATTTACTACAACATTACTTGCTGTCCACCTGAAATTCAAATTTACCTGGACAAGTTATTTTATCTTTGCCAAATTTGGCAACCTTCCTCCTGGATACCTTGAGAGGGAGGCAGGAGCCCTCAACCCCCGTGGGCTCCTGGCTCTGGGATGGAGGAGAACAGCGATACTGGGAGCCAACTCCCCATTGGGTGAGGCCCCAAATTTCTCTCCAAAGTCGGCAGCCCATGCTTGTCATTGTCAGGGCAAAGTGGGTAAGGCTGCTGGAGAACGGATAGGAATAGCTAGACATATTTTCCAAAGGAATTTTCACCTGCCTTGCCTCATTTAATCTTCATGAAAGTTCTCTCAGGCAGTATAAACCAGATTTTGCAGTTTAAAAATGTGAAGTTAAATGACCTGCTGAACAGCCTGCTGTTAGAGGGGTGGGGCTGGGCAGGTCCCTGTGCACAGCTCATTTCCCCTCCCCCACGGCTGGTTGGCGTCTCCACGAGGGTAAGTGACTGGTACTGGGTGGGGACCGTGACTGGTGATTTTTCTGAACTCTGTCACAGGCAGACCAAATGCTGCTTATTTTCCAGGGTCAGCCTCACTTAAAGTTAACCCTTCCCTTAATTTGCCCTCTTGGCCATCTCCATCTCCATCTCCTCTCAAGTCCATCCATTCCAAGAATGTAACACTCCCGGGCTCAGGCTGCAGGTTCTGCATTCCAGCGTCAAGACACACCAGCCCACCTGCACCCCTCGCTCCGCCCTGCCCTCCCACCCCGCTGCCTCATCCTGAGGCCTGCTCTCCAAAAGGGAGGAAGGCAGCAAGAGAGAAGTGGCATGGACTCGAGCACATGCCCGGCACTAGGAGATGTCCGCGGTGAGTGCCGTTGTAAGCTGGGTAGACGGCGCCATGCCCTCAGGGCGTGGCCACTCACGTGGTTTCTCTGGATCAACCACAGCCCTCACTTTTCTGTAATGGGCTCCAGTTTAGTTTTCAGAATTCTCTCTAGTGTAGAACTCTACTTTAACCTCATGTGCTCCCAAGTGGCTCGGGTAGAGACCTGACCTTGGAGGAACTGTGCCTGGTAAATCATAAATTGCCAAGGTGCAATCAAGTTCAAAGGCAGTCAACGTATTAAAATTTCAAAACCCAGGCACTTGACTTTCCTATCGATCATGTTATTCTCTATTTATTTTTGCCAGTTACGCCCATTTTCTAGAAAGAAAAATGAGACTTAGAATGAAGACAAGCTTCACCCAGGTCTCTTAGGGATTAATGGACAGGTCAGGATCCCCTGGACGTCCTGACCTCATGTTATTTTCAGTTAGCTGAAAGTGGTAGCTGCTGGACAGCTTCTCAGGAGAAGCCACCTTAATGCCCAGGTTAGGAGGAAGTGGGATCTTGTGGTCTCCATCTTTAGGTACCAGTCCCTTCTTCTCTCTGCCTTCCCACCAGGTCTGTCTGCTTCCGCTTCTAAGAAGCCCTGACTGAACCCTTCATCAACACTTTTGGGTGCAGGTGCATTTTTATTAGTCAGTCAACTTTACAAAACATCCCCCTACGTAGTTTTTACAACACTCTAGGAAGACCTGTAATCGTATTCTAATTTTAGAGATGGGAAAACTGTGGCTCTGATCTGAAATCCAGAAAGGAGGCCTGACCCACATCTCTTAAATTTGTAATGGCTGATTTCAGACACACTGACTGCCTGAGGGAATGGAGGGAACTCTTCCTGGCACCCCTCAAACCACCCCACGTTAACAACCACCCCCGGTAAAGCGGCCCCAGAAGCTATGTGCCCAGGCAACTCAGTCGTTCCTGCCCCCACACACCACCCTGGGTCGAGGTTGTGGCTGCATCAAGCGTGTGTCCAGCCTTTGTTTTCCCATCCCCACAGAACTGTGTTGGTTCAAATGAAGACCCTGGGCTCTGCATCTCCCCTCTCAGGGGAGCAGACACCTCGGAACAGGTGTGTGCCTGACTCCATCAGGGAGGGGAGGGAGCAGGTAAGAGTCATTTCAGAAGATGAGTCAACGCTTGAGAAACCCCAGCTCCACCCTGCAGACAAACAAGGGGAGCCGGGCAGCAGAGCACTTGACAGGGACAGCGCTAGTGATTTAGCTCTCTGTTGAGACACATCTTTTGGGGAAAGAATTAATGGCTGCAAATGGAGACAGATGGGACATATTTATTACGCTACTTCCAAGAACTGCATAAGGGAGACAGAAGGGAGAGTCCTGGGTTACTCCTGCAGGGCTTTGCAGAGAGGGGGCTGTGATCGACTGGGAGCAGGGGAATAGGGGGTTGCCAGAGGTCCTTATTTTAGCTACTTTTCCAGTCAAATGAAAATTTAAAGTCAGGCACATTTCCTCTTACAAATTGCGATCAGGACTTATTTGTTTTACCCACATTTCTAGTTGACTCGTAGCCAGCAGTCAGGGCTTAGAACACTTTAGTTTCGAGTTTCTTCCTCCACTAATTACTTAACCATCTGTCAACACTTTAGAAGATGCTACTTAAAGAGACCTTGTGACTTTTATTTTAATGTGGGAAATCCATTTACAAAATGAATCATTTCACCCTCTAATTTATCTGTTTGTAAATAAGATGCTCAGATACTAATGTCAGGCATTCTGTATGACGGCATTAAAGGCAGCCCTGTGAGAGATGAGGGCAGGATGAGTCTCTAGAAACATGTCATTAACTTATCTTCTCCTTCAAC